GGAATCCAAGACGGGTTCGTCTGATCTTCAAACTCTTAAGGTATTTTTTCTTTTCCTTGTCAGTTCTGTGTTGTTTTCTGTTGATGTTGTTTATGTGTTTAAATGTCAGTTGAGTTGTTTTCATTTTGTGTCGACTATTCTGTCCACCTTGCTCGGACCTTTTATTTGGTCAAATTTTTTTTTTCTCTATTCATTGATGAGTGTATGTGTTTAACTATATAATCGATTGAAATGAGTTTTGATCGATTAATTAGTTTCCAGGGCAACTCTTTGTTTTGGGCAGTACATTTTGAACCACCTGTTAATACTCTTCGATTTTGATCATTTGCTACTGATTGTATGTGTTGTAATTCGCGTAGTCGATTCGATATATGTCGTCGATTAGTTTCAATTTGGAATGGTATTAATCTGACTCATGCTGTTTAATTTTTACTAAGGCATTGTTTGAATCAGCTGAGAATTGATTTTAACTGCTTGTAGTCTGTTAGTTAAATCAGAAATCATTTAAGGATTGGTTTATAGCTGCAGTTTAATATAGATTTCAGAGTTTAGTTTGAATTGATGGCATGTTTATTCATTTTTTGGACAGCATGTGCATTGTAGTTCTTTAATGAATTAAAGCAAACTTGACAGCATGTGCTGTCAGGACATACTCATGCTGCCCATACTCATTTAGTTTAATAAAAGGATAAACCATTACAATAATGGAAGGAGGGCTGTCAGGAGGAATCTCATGGGGAATACTTTTCTTTTGAGTTTTGAGTGGAAAAACAGAAGATTCACATGGGAAGGATCAGTATTTTATTGGACTAGTTGTTCTAACAGCTGGGGGGAAGGTCTGTGTGTAGCTATAAAGGGGGAAGGGTTTTGAGAACTAAAAAAAACAGGGAAGGAGAGAGTTATGAGATAATTGTTTCGGGGCAGAGAGAGAGAGTTTAAGAACCAGAAAAGAGGTGAGACACCAAGAGGTTAAAGACAGAACCAAAGAACAGAGGAAAGGGAACCAAAAACCAGAAAGAGAGACCAAGAGTTTAGAACCAGAAGAGAGGGAAAGGGGTTTGGAACTAAAAGAAACTTGAGAGCAAAGAAGAAGCTGAAAATTCTGCTTTTCTTCACCTTCCTTTTGTTTTGAAATCAGCATTAACTGTCTTGTTCTATTCGAAACTTGGGCTTCTTTCTCTGAGTGTCCAAAAACCAGAAAACTGTTGTTCCACTGTCATTGTGGATCCACCTATTTCTGCTTGGCCTCAACTAAGTCTCCGGAGTTTGTTTTGGTTTTGATTTTGAGCACTGTTTCTATCGGTTGTAGCTGAATTCTTTCACTGGGATTTATTCTGCTTATTTTACTGCTTGAAACTACTGCTGTTGCTGTCTGCTTTTTATCACTGCTGTTGCATTGATCACTTCTCTTTTCCTCTTATGTCCAACATCCAGGTAGACACTAGAATTTCACACTGATGTAACAGTAAAGTTGAGCATGAAATGAAAGATGCGAAGGAGTTTAATCATTTGGTGTTGTATTTGTAGTTTTATAAAATGTTAGTGGATTTGTATAGTTTTTTTTGGTTTATAACTCAATGAAAAATGCATTAGGTAGTTTGTAATTAATTGAAACTTAGTTCGTTTAATACTGTGATCTATAGTTGTTTAGTTGTATACATGATATAGTTATGTAATTTGTGGAATGCATAAGTAGTTAGTATATCGATAACTAGACTTCATCTCTAGTCATATTCTGTACACATAGGGCAGACTGCTTCTAACCTTGCCAAATGCAACATAGCTTTAATCATTTGAGTTTAAACTCTATCAAAATCGGATTCCATTAGGCAGTCTATAGGATAATGTTTGAACCCCATTAATAACATCCTCTAGTAGTTAATTCCATTAATCTCATTAAAAACGAGTTAGTTTAAGTCCAACTTGGAGAACGTTTAGCGTGAGTTTAGCATTTTATCAATCTTGTATGCATATATTTAAAAGGCAGTTCGCTCATGGAATAAGGTACGAAATAATTCCCCACCTTACAAATTCGAGTGCAATTTTCCATTAACATCTTTTGTAATCTAATAATTAATAAGAGGTCGGAACTGGCCAAGCATGTAATTTAATTAGCGTATATTTTCTTCTTTCATTTTTAGAGACAAGCATAATAGGAAAAAAAATGTAGTCACTGTAGGTTTACCCTTTCAGAAAAAATGAGACGAGCCTCGCCAAATACAAATGAAAATTACGGGGCCCTCAATAATTGGTCGTAATAAATATTTAGATTTCTCGGGATGGACTGTTTAGTGAACTTCATTGCCTTCCCCAAAGATAATAACGCGTTAGACTCTTTAGGCGCGATTTAATTAAATTACCTTCTTAAATTCGGGTGCGCATTTATGTGACCCAAATCCAAATCTCAACGGAGTTGGAAAATATTAACAACCACAGGCGCATTGATTGTGACGTGGTTCGAAATGCATTTTCACAACGTTGCAATTCCATAAAAAATAAATAATAATAAAAGCGGTTTAAACCTAATAAAAGCACACAAGTCATAACATGTATTAAAATCAGATATTTAGCCATTGTAACAATTTAAGCGACCATGCTAGAACCACGGGATTCGGGGGTGCCTAACACCTTCCCTCGGGTCAACAGAATTCCTTACTTAGAATTTTTGGTTCGCAAACTTCATTTGGAAAGTCGAATATTTTCCTCGAATTGGGATTCAAGATAAACCGGTGACTTCGGACACCAAAAACCTTTCCCAAGTGGCGACTCTAAATTAAATAAATAATCCCATTTCGAATATTGTCATTTAAATTGGAAAATTCCCTCGCGCATTCACCCTTCGGGGCGGGCGCGCAAAAAGGAGGTGTGACAACGAGTATCTATACGTTGGTATCTAGCATGACCGTGAGTCTTTATATTGCGGATATTCTGATCTTGTTGTATCTTTCATGCCTTAATGATGATTTCTATATGTTGTAAAAAGCATGTGAAAGAAATTGTGATATTTGAACTTCGAGAAGCATTGGCTCGAGTGGTAATACTAATTGTAAAAGTATATGAGATAAATGGAACCCTTTGGAGCATTGGCTCAAGTGGTAAAGTGAGTTATAAAGTAAGAAGTGAAAGAAGAGAAAGAGTCATTGAATTATTCCCTTGCCGGGATGCTTGTTGCTTTGTTGATTATCTCCCTTGTCGGGATATTGAGATTTATTGATATTGTTCCCTTGCCGGGACTTAGCTGTTTAATTGTATTCCCTTGCTGGGATTTCTATTATTATTATTTGTTTAATTCCTTGCCCCTTGTTTGTGATTGTTGTTTGGGTGAGGAAGAGCGATAAAGCACGAAGGGCGATGTCGTGCATTGTTTGCTATTGTGAGGAAAGAGTGTAAAACACGAAGGGTGATGTTGTGCCATACGATGTACCATTCTGTACCGATATTCATTGACTATATTGTAAGGAAAGAGAGTAAAAGCACGAAAGGTGATGCCGTGCACATTATTAAGATACAATTGATTTGGTGAGGATGAGAGTAAAAGCACGAAGGGTGATGCCGTGCATTTGTTGATTTCTGATTTCCTTGTTGATATCCGAGTTATGTTGTTTCTTTCATTACTTATTGTTATTTGATTTACTTTGAGGTATTAGATTTCCTTACCCTATTTTCCTTGTGATTATTGTTTGGGTAAGGAAGAGCGTAAAGCACGAAGGGTGATGTCGTGTATTATTTTGGTGAGGATGAGAGTAAAAGCATGAAGGGTGATGCCATGCAAATTGTTGATTTCTGCTTCCTTGTTGATATTCTAGTGATGTTGTTTCCTTCCCTACTTGATGCCTTTCTATTCGGAACTATATTCACCCCCACAACATGTTTCCCCTTCCTACATTGACTAGTTATTTCTGTATCTCTTTTCCGCTGTATATATATACGAATTGCACAGGTTTATTTGGAGTCTGGTCCTAGCCTCGTCACTACTTCGCCGAGGTTAGGCTAGGCACTTACCAGCACATAGGGTCGGTTGTGCTGATACTACACTCTGTGCTCTTTTGCACAGATCCAGGTCTTGGACAGCAATAGTAGCGCGAGAGCCAGCCTTCATTCCAGTGAGACACCGAGGTAGCCTTGCAGGCGTACGCAGGCCCGACGTCTCCTCTATCTTTCAGTCTGTTATCTCATGTTTTCGAGACAAACAATTTATATTTTTCTTTCAAACAGTTGTATTTAGTACTCTTAGAAGTTAGTGAGTGATGTGACACCAGTTCTTGGGTAGAGGCATATGTTGACTTTCGCATTATTGTTCAGCTTATTTAATTTAGGTCTTCCGCTTATTTATTTAATTCCGTTGTTTTCATGCTATCACTAATAATTGTTAAAAGAAGTAATTTGTTAATGAAGTAAGCAGTTAAGGATTGGCTTGCCTAGCTCACATTAGTAGGCACCATCACGACTCCTGAGGGTGGGAAATCCGGGTCGTGACAAGTTGGTATTAGAGCTCTAGGTTACATAGGTCTCACAACTCACGGACAAGCTCAGTAGAGTCTGAGGGATCGGTACAGAGACGTCTGTATTTATCCCCCAGAGGCTACAGAGTTAGGAAAATTTCCCATTTGTTCTTTCTTTTCGTGCGAATTTGTTCCTCAAATGCTAATTGGATTTCTACTCTACTCTTTCATAGATGGCGAGAACACTCGCTTCCTCATCTACAGCTCAACAACCCGAGCCCTAGCAGTAGCTCCCACTAGGGGCAGAGGGCGAGTCCGAGGCCATGCTAAAGGCCGAGGTAGGGTCAGAGCTCATCCCCGAGCAGCAGCACCAGTGGCGGAACCTCAGGTTGATTTTGAGGAGGAGGTTTCGGTGAGCCCAGCTCAGGTCCCAGAGGGGTTCATTTCCACCCCAGTTCTTCAGGACGCTCTAGTCCAGTTAGTGGGCCTCATGGAGAGTGTCACCCGAGCGAGTTTGCTTCCCGTAGCACCAGCCACTTCTCAGGCTGGAGGAGGGGCTTAGACTCCTGCTATGCGCACTCCAGAGTAGGTAGCTCCCCAGGTTCGGGTTCCTGCAGTTCAACCAGCTGTGGCAGTTCAGACGAGTGTAGTGGCTCAGACCGGCGATGGAGCGGCTATGTCCGCCGATGCTTTGTGGAGGCTGGATAGGTTCACCAAGCTCTTCACTTCTACATTCAGCGGTGCATCTACTAAGGATCCCCAGGATTATCTAGATGGTTGTCACGAGGTTCTTCGGAACATGGGGATCGTTGAGACCAATGGAGTTGATTTTTCTACCTTTCGTCTGTCTTGACCCGCCAAGACTTGGTGGAGGAATTATTGCTTAGCTAGACCAGACGGTTCGCCACCTTTGACTTGGGAGTAGTTCACAGCATTGTTTTTGGAGAAGTTTCTCCCAGTGACTCAGAGAAAGGCCTTTCGGAGGCAGTTTGAGCGCCTCTAGCAGGGTTCCATGATGGTCACCCAATATGAGACCAGGTTTATCGATCTAGCTCGCCATGCTCTTGTCATACTTCCCACCTAGAGAGAGAGAGGGTGAGAAGGTTTATTGATAGTCTTATTCAGCCGATTTATCTTCAGATGGCCAAGGAGGCCGGGAGTGAGATCACTTTCCAGGAGGCGGCCAATGCGGCCCGTAGAGTTGAAATGGTTCTGTCATAGGGAGGTGGTCATGGGACGGATAAGAGGCCCTGTCATTCAGAAAGATTCAGTGGTGCCTCGTCTGAAGGTAGAGATTCATGTGGTAGAGGCCATCCTCCTAGGCCCTTTCAGTCAGCTCTCCAGGTCTCTCATGGTACTTAAGGTGGTCGTGGTTCTCAGACGCACTATTTTAATCAGCAGTCTTACCGTGCACCACCAGCTCCCATCAGTGCACCGCCGCTTCAGAGTTTTCGAGGTGGTCATTTAGGTCGATAAGGGCAGCAGTTTCAGCAGCCGAGGGCTTGTTACACTTGTGGTGATCTCGGTCACATTGCCAGGTTTTGCCCTCGAGCACCAGGTAGCTGTCAGCATCAGGGTTCTCGTGCTATGGTATAAGCACCAGGCATTCCACAGCCCGCCCAGCCAGTTAGAGGTGGGGGTAGAGGTGCTATAGGTGGAGGTAGAGGTCCTAGAGGTGGAGCTCAGGCCGCCAGAGGTGGAGGCCAACCAACAGTAGGCCGTCCCAAAGAGGTAGTTCAGGGTGGTGGGGCCCAGCCCCGATGTTACGCCCTTCCAGCTAGGCCCAAGGCTGAGGCTTCAGATGCAGTCATTACAGGTACCATTCTGGTTTGTGATAAAGATGCTTCAGTGCTATTTGATTTAGGGTCTACGTATTCGTATGTGTCATCTTATTTTGCATCGTACCTGGTCATGCCTAGTGATTCATTGATTATTTCTGTTTATGTGTCTACACCGATGGGTGATTATATTGTGGTCGATCGAGTTCATCGTTCTTGTATTGTGGTGATTGGGGGTCTTGAGACCCGTGTTGATTTATTGCTGTTAGACATGGTCAACTTCGATGTTATATTGGAGATGGACTGGTTGTCCCCGTACCACGCCATCTTGGACTGTCATGCCAAGACTGTGACCTTAGCCTTACCGGACTTTCCCCGTTTAGAGTAGAGAGGGACTCCTGGTCATTCTACTCGCACTATTATCTCGTACGTGAAGGCTCGGCGTATGGTCGAGAAGGGGTGTTTGGCCTATTTGGCTTATGTTCGCGATTCCAGTGCTGAGGTTCCCTCTATTGATTTGGTACCCGTGGTTCGTGAGTTTCCTAATGTTTTCCCTTAAGACCTGCCGGGTATGCCACCCGATAGGGATATTGATTTCTGCATCGATTTTGTTCCTAGCACTTAGCCCATTTCTATTCCACCATATCGCATGGCCTCGCCAGAGTTGAAAGAGTTGAAGGAGTAGTTGCAATACTTGCTTGAGAAGGATTTCATTAGACCTAGCGTTTCGCCTTGGGGTGCGCCGGTGTTATTTGTCAAGAAAAAGGATGGTTCAATGAGAATGTGCATTGATTACCGGCAGTTGAACAAGGTCACCATCAAGAATACATATCCACTACCGAGGATTGATGATTTGTTCGATCAGCTTCAAGGTGCCAAGGTATTTTCAAAGATTGACTTGAGATCTGTCTACCATCAGTTGAGGATTAGGGCATCCGATGTCCCTAAGACAGCTTTCCGCACTCGGTACGAGCATTATGAGTTCTTGGTTATGTCATTCGGGTTGAAAAATGCCCCAACAGCTTTTATGGATTTGATGAACCGAGTGTTCAGGACTTATTTGGACTCATTCGTGATAGTCTTCATTGATGATATTCTGATATATTCCCGCAGCCGGGAGGAGCACGAGCAGCATCTTAGAGTGGTTCTTTAGACCTTGAGGGATAGTCAGTTATATGCTAAATTCTTGAAGTGTGAGTTCTGTTTGAGTACAGTTGCATTCCTGGGTCATATTGTGTCAGCAGAGGGTATTCAGGTTGATCCGAAGAAGATTGAAGCAGTCAAGAACTGGCCTAGACCAGCATCAGCTATAGAGATTCGGAGTTTCTTGGGATTGGCAGGCTACTATCTTCGATTCGTGGAGGGGTTCCCATTTATCGCAGCCCCGATGACCAGGTTGACCCAGAAGGGTGCCCAGTTTAGATGGTCGGATGAATGTGAGGCGAGCTTTCAGAGGCTCAAGACGACTCTGACTACGACACCGATATTAGTATTGCCCACGGGTTCAGGGCCTTACATAGTCTATTGTGATGCTTCCCGTATTAGGCTTGGTGCAATATTGATGCAGGATGGCAAGGTCATTGCCTATGCTTCGAGGCAGTTAAAGATTCATGAGAAGAACTATCCGGTTCATGATTTGGAGTTGGCAGCCATTGTTCACGTATTGAAGATCTGGAGGAATTATCTGTATGGCATGGTATGTGAGGTGTTCACTGATCACAAGAGTCTTCAGTATTTGTTCAAGTAAAAGGAGTTGAATTTGAGGCAGAGGAGGTGGTTGGAGTTGTTGAAGGATTATGACATCACTATCTTATATTACCCGGGAAAGGCCAATGTGGTGACCGATGCTTTGAGTAGAAAGTCAGCCAGTATGGGCAGTCTTGCTTATATTCCAGTCAGTGAGAGGCCGCTTGCTTTGGATGTTCAGGACTTAGCCAATCGATTCGTGAGGTTGGATATTTCTGAGCCTAGTCGGGTATTAGCTTGCACGGTCGTTCGTTCTTCGTTATTAGAGCGTATCCGTGATCGACAGTTTGATGATCCCCATTTGTGTGTTCTTAGAGACACAGTGCAGTGTGAAGGTGCCAAGCATGTAACCTTAGATGCTGATGGAGTTTTGAGATTGCAGGGTCGAGTTTGTGTGCCTAATGTGGATGGGCTTCGAGAGTTGATTTTAGAGGAGGCCCATAGTTCCTGGTACTCTTTTCATCCGGGAACCACAAAGATTTATCAGGATTTGTGGCAGTATTATTGGTGGCATAGAATGAAGAAGGATATTGTGGCATATGTGGCACGGTGTTTGAATTGTCAGCAGGTTAAGTACGAGCATCAGAGGCCTGATGGATTGTTTCTAAGGACTGAGCTTCTCGAGTGAAAGTGGGAGCGGATCACTATGGACTTCGTTACTGGACTTCCGCTGACTCAGAAGAAGTTTGACACAGTTTGGGTCATTGTTGATATGCTGACCAAGTCAGCGCATTTCATTCTTGTAGGAGTCTCCTATTCATCCGAGAGGTTAGCTGAGATCTATATCCGGGAGATTGTTCGCCTTCATGGTATGCCAGTATCTATCATTTCGAACCGAGGTATGCAGTTTACTTCGCATTTCCGGAGAGCAGTTCAGCGAGAGTTGGCCACCCAGGTTGAGTTGAGTATAGCATTCCATCCTCAGAAGGACGGGCAGTCCTAACGGACTATTCAGATATTGGAGGATATGCTCCGAGCTTGTGTTATTGACTTTGGAGGTTCGTGGGATCAGGTTTTTCCTTTAGCAGAGTTAGCCTACAACAACAGTTACCAGTCGAGTATCCAGATGGCTACTTATGAGGCCTTATATGGTAGGAGGTGTCGATATCCGGTTGGATGGTTTGAACCGGGAGAAGCTCGTTTGTTGGGTACGAATCTGGTTCAAGAGGCCTTGGACAAGGTCAGGATCATTCAGGATAGACTGCATACAGCCCAGTCCAGGCAAAAGAGTTATGCTGATTGCAAGGTTCGAGATGTGGCTTTTATGGTTGGTGGCTTTTATCCGGAATCCACAAAAAATCTCTAAGAGTTTCATCATCTTCGATGTTAAACTCAGAATAATAAGCAAACTCCTACGGAGTCACTGAATACGGAAATCTACCGGTTACTTTATGGTTAACCGAACGCTTCCTCCCACTCATTTTTTTACGTACCAACGATACCAATTTATCGTACTCCATTGTAAGCGGCAATTTAACATGACATTGTGGAGGTGAGCTATACCTCACAGAGTTATTCTCCAGCACAACCTCCCCCCCCCCCCAATATAATGAAACCCTTATTTTTGGCTCTTCAGACATTATAAAAAAATGATTGATAAGAAGAAAAAAGAAGTATGAACGGAAGTTTGAAGAAAGTATTGAATGAATTTTCATAAAATTGAAACGCCTTTAAATAAGGCAGGTCCGAGCTTGGGATGCAGAATTTTTTTATGTAAAATGCAGTACAATACCACATTTTATGCATTTGAATTATTGTTATGTCAGTTATTCGCAGAACATTTATTGGTGAGCCCAAAAATTAGAGTAAAATGCAGTATAATAATACGTTTCAGTGTAAAACGCAGTATAATACTGCGTTTTACACTAAAAAATAAATATTCTCTGCAGTCCTATAGAAGTGGGCACAAATATTATAGGGAAACGCAGTACAATACTGTGTTTAAGTTAAACACAGTATTATAATGCGTTTTCCTAAAAAAATTAATTTTTTAATAAAATACAGTATAGTACTACGTTTTATGTATTTATGTAATTTTTTTTTTAACAATAGAAACATATTTTGTGCCATTTTTGGCACTATTTCATTTTCGGACTCAAACAAATATTCATGCAATATATATTCTCTAAATTCCATGCTTATTTGACCCAAACAAATCGACAAAGTTGACCAAAAAGAAAAAAAAAAACAATTCGACAAATATTCTCCTTTAATGCTTCCTGATTCTAAAAGCTTTTCAGTTTCAGAACCAGTTACAGGGTCCATTTTAACAGCAATTTTGTTCAGATAAAAGCTATGTCCCACTCCATTGTTTATAAACAGCTCTACGTCCTTTTCTCCCTTTTTCATAGCTTCGTAAAACTCCATTTCAGTGTCCTTTATCAGATCTTTCTCCGCTACACAGTACAAATAAGGCGGCAAATTAAGCTCCTTCACCGCCGGCGCCGCATCTCCCATCGGACATGTTATTGGATGATCCTTATTGCTCCCTACAGGTAAAGCTAACCCTAGAAATTCATCCACCATATCTAAATTTAAAAACGGCGTTTGCTCTTGTTCTAGCTCCGATTTGCTCCGATAGGACCGCACGAAACCTGGATGGATCGGAAGTGCGCCGGCCAGTCGCATTGGAGATAAGTTTACCTCGCCGGATTTGACGGCGACTTGGTGGACTATGTTCCCGCCGGAGCTGTCTCCGATGAGGAATACTCGGTTGAAATCTGCGTGATCGTTGAGCCAGGGCTCGTGTCCTTGCTTCCGGGAAAGGTCCCTGAGCCAGAGGAGGGCATCGAAACCGGCATCACAGGCCGCGGGGAGGCGGTGCTCCGGCGCGAGGGGGATGAAGACGGAGACAATGATTGCGTTGGCCACGCGCACTAGGCGCGTGTAGACAGTGTAGTACATGAACCAATCGGCTTGGCTGATACAAAAGCCGCCGCCGTGGAAGTGAAAAATGACGGGAAGCTTGTTGACGGAATTGTCGTTTCGTTCAGGTAAGTAGATGCGGAGACGGCTGCCGGATTTTTCGTCGGCGACTACATCTTTGACGGCAACGCCGTCGATGAAGTCGTCATGTGGCGGGACTGGCTCGGCCATGAATTTGACTTCGAGTGGACCGGTCCAAGTCCGGTCTACTGAACCGTCTTCGAAAACTCTAAGCCAGCCGGATACTTCCTCTATCACTTGCTTTTCATGAACCATTTTGGCAAAGTTTGAAGTGTTATCAAAAGTTTGAAGAATGAAGTGTTGGTTGCTATTTCTTACTTGTTGTATTTATAAATAATAATTTTTGAGAAAAAATGTTAGCGTATAAAGGTAAATATAAATGAAACAGTAATTAATTCGAGTTCACTGAATTCATAGTGTTTCTTTAAATAATTTAATCCTTTCCTAATACCTAAAGTTATGAATTGTTTCCTCTCAGGATAGAACGAATTACACACTGGTGTAGCGGTACTTCAAACCCAAGTGTTTCAGCGAACACAAAGTTCGACAGCAAATCACACTTACAGTTGCTTTGTTTGTAGTTTAAAACAATGCAGAACAAAGGAGGAGAACTCAGAAGTCGAATGGAAATTCTGAGAGGAAGGATTGTAATGTATAGCCAAACTTTGAGTGTAAATTGGAGAGGAAATCAGTAGCTGTATAAATTGAAGAGGAAATCAGTAGTTTCACTTTCGATTTTTGTCTGTGTGTCTTCAACAAGCTGCTTGCACCATCTATTTATAGTGCAGTCAGCTGCTAAACACGGACCCGCTGCCACTCATTTAGTGGAGCACTTGGTCATGGTGGGCAGAGCACCAGGCTGCTAATTAATGGACAATCACTTGCTATTATGGAGCAAACATTTGGCCATGGTGGGAGACGCCCTAGGCTGCTGGAACAAATCCACGGGTTGGAACATATCTGTTACAAACACGGATAATATTACGTTAATATTTACTATTAACAAATAAATTTGGTCCAAAATTAATTAATTAATCGATCATTTGACCAAATCCAAATCCAAATTCAAATTCGAATCCGAATTCGAAATCGAAGTCGTAGCCGAGTGAGCGAGCGACGACGACGGCGCGAGGCTTGCCTTCTTCTTAACTCTATAAGAACTACAAGAAGAGCAATTGTGTATATACCCACTAAAATCATTTTCCTCTTCCAATATGAGACAATGTTTCAAGAGAGGGAAACTTAAAATTTTACTCAAAAATTTCATTTTTCCTCCATTTCCTATTCACCCTCTTTTTAAGACTTTTCCATCTTAAAATCCTCAACAATCCCCCGCATGAATGAGGAATGACTATATCACAGAAGTATGCATGAAAAACTTGTGCGATTTGCATGCAAGGATTAATTGCATCTGGATAAGTAGGTTTCCCTTTGAACGTTCCGTAGTGAACTTATGTCGGATATACTCGGTCAATCGGTAGATTTGATATCTTTGAACTGTCGAACTTTAGTGTATACCTAGACAACCATAAGTCACACAATCAACCCTTAACCGTTTTTGGTTCTCATTGTTGTGTTCGTTTCAGCCATGAACAACGCCTGGTTTTATAAGTGCGTAGAGAATTGGCCTTGCAAAATTCTCCTTGAAGCGGCTAACACTTCACACTTACATAGGTGATTCCTAATCGTGTCATCCCGTAGATACACTATTTGATATACCCCGTATCAAATTAGAAATCATTAAAAAGCCTTAATGCTTTATCCTTGTACTGAACATTGTCTCATCACGAGAATGAACCAAAATTTTTGTTGACAATGTTGAACCGTCATTAATGATTTTGTTTGATCTCCTTGAACCTAGATCTTGGGATCTCCAGTCTTCTAGGTAGAGTTACCGCCACAATGACTTGTTCTCGGTTATAGTCCCATTCCCCTCGATGACTTCTCAACTACCTCTCTAGTTAGGCTTTTTGTAAGTGGATCCGACACATTATCACTTGACTTTACATAGTCAATCGTGATAATTTCTCTAGAGAGTAGTTGCCTAACGGTTTTATGTCTTCGTCGTATATGACGAGATTTACCGTTATACAAAACGCTCCCAGCCCTTCCAATTGTCGCTTGGCTATCACAATGTATGCATATTAGTGCCAACGGTTTGGGCCAAAATGGAATATCTTCCAAGAAATTCCGGAGCCATTCAACTTCTTCACCGGCTTTATCTAAGGCTATAAACTCAGCCTCCATTGTAGAGCGGTCAATACAAGTTTGTTTGGACGACTTCCAAGATACCGCTCCTCCACCAATAGCGAATACATAACCACTTGTGGACTTTGAATTAGTTGAACCGGTGATCCAATTTGCATCACAATATCCTTCAATCACTGCAGGATATTTACTGTAGTGCAAATCAAAATTTTGGGTATGTTCTAAATATCCCAAAACTCCTTTCATTGTCATTCAATGAGATTGACCTGGATTGCTCGTGTAGCGACTCAGTTTACTTATAGCACAAGCTATATCTGGTCGTGTACAATTCATGATGTACATTAAGCATCCCAACACACGAGCATAATCCAATTGTGATATGCTTTGGTCTTTGTTCTTTGCTAATGCAAGATTCATGTCAATTGGTGTGACGACTCGGCCAGTCGTCTCATGAGTTACTGCTCCATTTCCCCCATTTCAGCTTATTTACGCTTCGTTATCCGTATTTTATGTGATCGAGTTGATTAGTTCGAGTTCGGAGAGGATTTGGTAAGAAATGAGACATTTAGTCTCTTTTAAGAAGGCTTAAGTTGGAAAAGTCAACCGGGTGTTGACATATGTGTTAGAGGGCTCGGAAGTGAGTTCCGATGATTCGGTTAGCTTCGGGAGGTGATTTGTGACTTAGGAGCGCGATCAGAATGAGTTTTGGAGTTGTAGAGAAAATTTAGGCTTGAATTGGCGAAATTGATATTTCGGCAAACTCCGGTTGATAGGCGAGATTTTGATATATGGGTAGGAATGGAATTCCGAGAGTTGCAGTAGCTTCATTGTGTCATTTGGGATGTGTGTGCAAAATTTCAGGTCATTCGGACAAGATTTGATAGACCTTTTGATCGAAATCATAATTTAAGAGTTCTTGGAGTTCTTAGGCTTGAATCCTATGTTAAATTGGTGATTTGAAGTTGTTGTGAGCGTTCCGAAGTTTTGAGCAAGCTTGAACGATGTCATGGGATGTGTTGGTACAATTAGTTTGAAGTTCCGGGAGTTCCGGGTAGGTTCCGGGATGTTTTAGGGCAAAAATCATAGTTGTAGCAGGTCTACAGGGGTTGCAGGCCCCGGAACTCACTCACGCGGTCCGCACAAAAATAAGTGCGCCCGCATTGAGTGTTGTGCGGACCATACAAAAATGGGCGCGGCCGCGGTAGGTGTCGCGCGGACCGCACAAAAGTGGCCGCGGCCGCGGTAAAGAACCCTCCCGCTGGTCCAACTTCGGAAGCTCATATCTTTTGATTTACAAGGAATGTTGAGGTGAGTTAAAAACGGAAGTTGTAGCCCTTCGTGTCTAGTTTCCGGAAAGGTAAAGATATCGCAATTTGGACATCTGTAGCAAAGGTTATGAGCAAAATACTAAAACTTGTCACTGTAGAGGAAGGCCTATGCAGCTGCGGTTGCGTTTGCGCGGACAGCACTGGCTTGCGCGGACCGCAGTCGTTTTGGTGCGGCCCGCGGTAGCTAAAATCTGAGGGGTACCTATAAATACGAGATTTTGGGTTTTATTTAATATTTTGACCTAGAGAGCTCGGATTTTGGCGATTTTTCAAAGATTTTTCAAGAAATTTATCGGGGTGAGTGATTTTAACTCAGATTTGGCTAGAATACATGAATCTATCACTGAATTCATCATTTAATTTATGATTTGGGGTGGAATTTGGGAAGAAAATTGTGAAACCTTTCAAGAATATAAAATGATGATTTGAAGGACCAAATGGTATCGGAATTGGATAATTTTGGTATGGTTAGACTCGTGAGGGTATGAGGACTCGGAAAATGCAAATTTTACCCGATTCCGAGACATGGTCCCGGGGCTCAGGTTTTGCTAATTTCAGGATTTTTGATATTTTTCGAATATTTTCGCTTGGGCTTTGTTCCCTTAGCATATTGTGACGTATTCGTTCTGATTTTGGATTGATTCGACGCGCGTGGAGGCCAATTCGAGGGGCAAAGGTGTCGCGAGCTAGAGAATTAGCCAGTTCGAGGTGAGCAATGGCTGTAAATGATGTCCCGAGGCTTTGAAACCCCGGATTGCACATCGTAGTGCTATATTGAGACAAGATACGCACTGGATGATAAGCGTGGGGTCTTTCACTACTGGGGTTTGTGACTTGGTCCATCCCGATTGATGATTTTACCGAATATTTGACTGAAATTCAATTGTTATCATCATGATTTGGGCTGATTGCCATATTTGGGCTTCGTGCCAACTATTTGAACCCTTCGGGGATTTTTATCACTGTTTTCTCACTGCTTGACTTATTATTTGAACTCAGTCCTGTTGATATCTACTATTTTACAAACTCATCCACTTTTACTCAGATTTGAAACTTAAATGATATTTCTGCATCATGTTTTGGGCTAAGAACTAGTGTTTTACTAATGCCCAAGGGGCTTATGATGATTTCCGGACTGAGTGAGGCCGAGGGCCATATGTGAGAATATGTTGAGTGATATGAGGCCGATGGCCTGAGTTACTATTTATGCCACGCGGTGGCTTGAGTGATGTGAGGCCGAGGGCTTGAGATACTTTATATGCCACGCGGTGGCTTGAGTGATGTGAGGATATGTTGAGTGATGATGCCACGGGGTGGCTTTATATAGCGCTTGGGCCGTAAGGGGCCCCTCCGGAGTCTGCACACCAACAGTGAGCGCGGGTACCCATTGTTCTAAGTGATTGATGCTATGCCTGAGGGGCTGATATGAGTGATTGTGAGGTAGCCCGAGGGGCTGATACTATTCTGAGTGATTGATACTGAGCCCGAGGGGCTTATACTATGCTGAGCGATTGATACTTTGCCCGAGGGGCAAATTTCTACTTGTTATTTACCTGTTAAATTACCACTTTTACTTGTTTTAAAAGGAATATCATTTGATTTCTTCACTGATTTACTGCTTTAAGTGATTTTTACTGCTTGATATGGAATTGCTTTGTGTCTTTACATGTTTTCATACTTTCATCCATTGTTTATAGTTATTACTCACTGAGTCGGATTACTCACATTACTCTCTGCACCGTGTGTGCAGATTCAGGCATAGCAGAGTTCGCACCTAAGCGCTGATTTTGTCCAGGCTAGGCGGTGATTTGGAGTTCCGAGGTAGCTGTTGACGTCCGCAGCCCCTTATCTCCCTTATCCTCTATCATTTATGTTTTCTTCAGACTGTTGTATCGGATTCCGTACTTTGTAGACCTATAGCAGATTTTATAGTAGCTCATGACTTGTGACACCCCGGTTTGGGCTGTGTCGGGATGGTTCCTACTGTTGTTAACGTTAAAATTCCGCAATTTATG